CCTGATGAAGCTGTGTGGACGGCCAATGATAGTGGTGTTTTCTCATGTTCCTCAGCCTGGAATTTAATCAGAAAGAAGAAGGGCAAAAGTATCATCAACACATGGCTCTGGCACAAGCACATTCCCTTCAAGATGTCCTTTTTCCTTTGGAGGGCAATTAGGAGCAAACTCCCCACTAATGAGAGGATCATGAACTTTGGAGCTGAACCTGCCTGCTGCAGCAGGCCTGGTCTAGATGATATTGACCATATTTTAGTTAATGGTAATTTTGCTAGCTTCATATGGAATTTTTTTGCAGCAAGTGTTGGTATCCCTCACAACCAGAACACTCTGAGAAACTTAGTGACTACCTGGTGGGGAACAGAACACAGAAATGCAGTTTAGAAACTGTTTCTGCACTCTTCGCCAATTATAACATGTTGGAATCTTTGGAAAAATAGATGTTCAGCTAAGTATGGAGGCAAAAAATCTAGCATCATCAGAGTTAAATTCCTTATTCAGAAGGACATCATAATGCTTCTCCATATTGCCTTTCCATATTTGCAATGGCCTGAGGACTGGCATGACTTGATCAATTATATGGAGGCCTGAAAACATGAGATCACGATCACTCAAGTTAATTGGAAAACTCCTCCCACCGATATTTTTAAACTCAATACAGATGGTAGTGCAATGAACAATTCGGGCAAAATTGGGGGCGGAGGAATTTTGAGGGATCATCAAGGCAACATGATATATGCTTTTAGCATCCCTCTTGGAATTGGCTCAAATAATTTAGCAGAGACACTTGCAGCGCAGCAAGGTATCTACTGGTGTGTTCAACATGGTTTTAAGAAGATTATCCTCGAAATTGACTCAAAGTTGCTGAATAATTGGATCAGCTATAAATCCAAACCTCCCTGGCAGATTCAGCAGCACATCAGGGAATTGATCAGACTCGCTAGACAGCTAGAATTTTTTGAATGCAGGCACATCTTCAAGGAAGCTAACAGTACAACAGATTTCCTTGCAAAGGGAAGCCACAACTCAGACATTATCAGACAATACTACACTCATCATCAGCTTCCTACAGTTGCTAAAGGTAGCTACCTGCTAGAGAGGATGGGAGTATCCAATTTCAGAAGGAAGAAAATAAAGAGAATCAAGCAACCACCTTAAGTTTTAGATGGACTCTAGATTAGTTTTTCCATTCGTTTTCCATGTAAGGGGAGAGTCTCCCAAGTTTATTGCTTACTAGTTATGATGTACGGAGAGGAGTCCTTTCTTCTAGGCTCATAGTTAGTAGGTTCCTTTTCTAGTACGGGGATAAGTCGACTAGCCTTTATAGGAAGGTTGACACATATAGCACCATAGGTTCAGAGGTAAGGTTTATGTCCCCCTCCCTGTATTTTTGTTTTGTTATTAATGCTAAAGGCTGGGGATGTTGCTAAGCCCCTGACCCTCCCAAGGGTCGTTCTAATAAAAAAAATAAAAAAAATTCTCAAAATCGAAAACACTAGACCCTAAACCTTAAACCCTAACCCTAACCCCTAAACACTAAACCCATAAACCCTAAACCCCAAACCCTAAATCCTAAATTATAAACCATAATCCCTAAACCCTAAACCATAAATCATAAACTCTGAACCCTAATTCGTAATCCTAAACCCTAAATCCTACACACTAAACCCAAAACCCTTGACCCTTGAACCTAAACCCTCAACCCAAAACCCTAAACCCTAAATCCAAAACCCTAAATCCTAAACACTGAACCCTAAATCCTAAACTCTAAACCCTAAACCCTAACCCTTAATTATAAACCCTAAACTATACTCTCGAAACCCTAACCGTAAACCTTAAACCCTAAACCCTAAACCCAAAACACTAAACCCTAAGATAACCTTAAATCCTAAAGACTAAATCCTAAACCCTAAACCCTAAACCCTAACCCCTAACCCCTAAATCCTCAACTCTAAACCCTAAACACTAAACCTTAAATGCTAAACCCTAAACCCTGATTCCTAGAGTCTAAACCCCAAACCATAACCCTAAACCCTGAACCGTAAACCCTACACCCTAAAACCTAATCCCTAAATCCTAAACCACAACCCAAAACCATTAGACCAAAACCCTAGATCTAAACCCTAAACCTTAAACTCAATACCATAAATCCTAAACCCTAAACCATAAACCCTAACCTTAAACAAAAAATCCAAAACTCTATATTTTAAACTTGAAACTCTAAACCCTAAATCCTAAACACTAAATCCTAAATCATAAACCATAAAAAATAAACCCTAAATCCAAAACCCTAAACCCTAAACCCAAAACACTAGAACCTAAACCTTAAACCCTAACCCTAAACCCTAAATCCTAAATCCTAAATCTTAAACCCTAAACCCTAAATCCTAAATCCTAAACTCTCAACCCTAAGCCCAAAACCCCAGACCCTAAACCCTAACTCATAAACCCTAAACCCTAAACTCTAAACCCTACATCCTAAACTATAAATCCTCAAGCTTAAACCCAAAACCCAAATCTCTAAACCCTAAAGCCTAAACCATAAATCCTAAAATCTAAACCCTACACCCTAACCCTAAACTATAAACCCTAAACCATAACCCTAAACCCTAACCTTAAAACCTAAACCCTAAACCCTAACCCTTAACCCCTAAACCCAAAACCTACAACCCTAAAACCAAAACCCAAAGCCCTGAACCCTAAACCATAAACCCTAAACCCTAAAGCCTAAACTTAAACCCTAAACAATAAATCCAAAATCTAAACCCTAAAGCCTAAACCCTGAACTCTAACCCTTAAACCCTAACCTCTAAAACATAAACCCCTAAACCCAAACCCATAAAACCTAAAACCTAAACCATTAACCCTAAACCTTAAACCCTTAACCAAAAATCCTAAACTGTAAACTCTAAACACAACACAATAAACCCAAAGCCCTAAACCCTAAACCATAATCCCTACACCCTAAATTCTAATTTCCTAAACACTAAACCCTAAGCCTATCCTTAAACCCTAAACCCTAAACCCTAAACCATTAATCCTAAAGCCTAAACCCTAAACCCTACACCCTAAACACTAAACCTAAAACCCTAAACCCTAAACCTTAAACCCTAACTCTACACCTTAAACCCTAAACCCAAAATACAAAACCCTAAACACTAAACCCATAAACCCTAAACCCTAGACCTTAAACTCTAAATCCTAAATCCTAAACCCCAAACCCCTTAACCCTAAACCATAAACCTTCAACCATAAATCCGAAAACCAAAATCCCAAACACTAAACCCTAAACCGTAAATTGTAAACTCTAAACCCTACACCCTAAACACTGAAACCTAAGCCTTGAACCCTAAACCCTAAACACTAAATAGAAAACCCTAGACCCTAAACCCTAGACTCTAAATACTAAACTCTAAACCCTAAACCCTAACCATTAACCCTAAACCCTAAACCCTAAGCTATAATCTCCAAACCCTAACCCTAAATCCAAAACCCTAAACTTTAACCCCTAAACCCAAAACCCAAAACCCTAAACCCTACACTTAAACCCTAAACACCAAATCCTAAAACCTAAGCCCTAAACCCTACACCCTAAATATTCAACTCTAAACCCTAAACCTTAACCCTAAACTCTAAACCCTAAATATTAAACCCTAAACCCTAATTCCTAAAGTCTAAACCCTAAACCATAACCCTAAATCATAAACCCTATATCCTAAACCCTAAACCCTAATCCCTAAATCCTAAATTGTAGCCCTATACCATTAATCCTAAACCCTAAATCTAAACCCTAAACCATAAACTCAAAACCCTAAACCATAAACCCTTACCCTATACATTAAATCTTAAATACTCTATTTTAAACCATAAATCCTAAACCCTAAATGCTAAACCCTAAACCCTAAACCATAAACCATAAACCATAAACCATAAACCATAAACCATAAACCATAAACCATAAACCATAAACCATAAACCATAACCCTAAATCCTAAACCCTAAATCATAAACCCTAAACCTTAAACCCTAAATCCTAAATACTAAACCCTAAATCCTAAACCCTAAACCTTAAACCCTAAACCCTAATGTCGAAACCCAAAACACTAGACCCTAAACCTTAAACCCTAACCCCTAAACCCTAAACCCATAAACCCGAAACCCAAAACCATAAAACCTAAACCCTAACCCTAAACACTAAATGCTAAATCCTAAACCCGAAACTACAAACCCATTAACCCTAAACCATAACCCCTAAACCCCTAAAACCTAGACTGTAAACCCTAAACCTTAAACACTTAACCAATAACCCTAAACCCATAACCCTACAACCTAAACCTACAACCCTACACACTAAACCCTAAAACCTAAACCCTAAACCCTAAACCCTAAACCCAAAACCCAAAACCCTAATCCCTAAACCTAAACCATAACCCATAAACCCTAAATCATAAACCTTAAACCCTAAACACTAAACCCTAAACCCTAAATTCTAAACCCTAAGCCCTAAACCATACAACCTAATCCTAACTTTAAACCCTAAACCATCAATACCAAATTGAAAACCCTAAACCCTAAATCCTAAACTCAAATCCCTAAACCATAAACCCTAAACTCTAAACCCTAAACCCTAAACCCTAAATCCTAAACCCTAAACCCTAAACCATAAACCATTAACCATAAACCCAAAACCCTAAGCCCTAACCCTAAACCTTAAATCCTAAAACCTAAACCCTAAAACTTAAATCATAAACCATAAACCCTAACCCTAAACCCTAACCCTAACCCTAAACCCTAAACCCTAAACGCTAAACCATAAACCATTAACCATAAACCCAAAACCCTGAACCCTAACCCTAAACCTTAAATCCTAAAACCTAAACCCTAAAACTTAAATCATAAACCATAAATCCTTAACCCTAAATACCAAACACTAAACCCTAAATCCCAAACTCTAAACACTAAACCCTAAACCCTAAACTATAAACCCTAAACACTAAACCCTAACCTCTAAACCCTAAACCCCCATACCCAAAACCCTAGACCCTAAACCCTAAACCCTAAATCCTAACCCCTAACCCCTAACCCCTAACCCCTAAACCTTAAACCTTAAACCCTAAACACCAAACCTTAAACCTTAAACCCTAAACCCTAAACCTTAACCCTAAACCCTAAACCTGAAACCCAAACCCACAACCCCTAAACACTAAACCCTTCAACCCAAAATCTGAAACCCTAAACCTTAAATCTGAAACCCTAAACTCTAAACCCTAAACCCCAAACACTAAACACTAAACCCTAAACCCTACACCCTAAACCCTAAATCCTCAACTCTAGACCCTAAACCCCAAACACTAAACACTAAACCCTAAACCCTACACCCTAAACCCTAAATCCTCAACTCTAAACCCTAAACCCGTTTCAGAAGAAAGAAGTTGAAACTGCTCAAACAACCACCATGAATGTTTGATAAGTTCAAGCAGTAACGGGAATTCAATCTGGCAGGAGCTCTCTGTGCAGATTGAAGGACAGTAGAATACCAAATATATTCTCTAAATCATACATTTGGTTTCAAATGCCTTTTCTTCATGAGACATTCTATTCAAATTATTATTCTTTTGTAGGTATAATAGTTTGTTTAGGATTAGTTTCAACTTTTGTAAGGTGAGAGTCTCCCTTATTTATGTATTATTAGAAACTTTGTATTAAGAGAGGATTCCTCTCTAGGTATTTAGTTTAATAATATATCATATTGTATAGGGTTGAGTTGACTAACCTTAGTTGGTAGGTCGACTTGACCCACGTTAGGTTTGGAGGTAAGGTTTTTGCCCCCCTCCTTGTATAATTTTGGTTTTATATATATGATAAGGCCTGGGGGTGATGCTCAGCCCCTGACCCACCTAAAGGTCATTCTTCTAAAAAAACCCTAAACCCTAACCCTAACCCTAAACCCTAAAACCTAAATGCTAAACCATAAACCCTAATTCCTAAATTCTAATCCCTAAACCCTAACCAAAAACCCAAAACCCTAAATCCTTAAATCTTATCCCTAAACCATAAACTTTAGCCCTAAACCATTCATCCTAAACTCGATACCTAAACCCTAAACCTCAAACCCTAAACACAAAACCCTAAACCCTCCACCTTGATCCTAAATACTA